TTCCCTACAAACCTGTCAAAGTGTTAAAAATGAAAACCCAGCTAAGAATATCATAATTGAGTTTCACAAGGAATCATCAGGTGTTCGGTGACAACAACAATTGACAATTGACTAAAAAAAAAAAGCATGCCTGAAGTCCAGGAACTCCATTTGATGCAAGGAGAGTGACCATCCCATAATCTGAATGAGCAGAAGCACCGTATATTTCTTCATCAGTTGATCCCAGTTTACCTAAATAATGTATACCAAGGCATGAAAGATAGAAAATGGAAAAAGAAAACTACCCTGAAATAAAACACATAAGACAAAATTACAATAAAATAAATAAAAGAAATTTAAGCGACACTAGTAATCAGTAAATTACAAAAAGAGAGACACCTATATTGAAGCTTTAGGGTGATATACTTCACCTGGATAGTGCAAAAGGCGAAGAACTGCTGTTGGCTTATTCAGCGCCCCCTCTTTCTCGAAAAACTCCTCATCCAGGTTCAATGCCAGGGCAATCAGTGAGATTAATCTTTTTCCAGCAGACCTGAGGCAGCAAATCAAGCACCAGGCATTCATAGACATTTATATAAGACGTTTGAAATAAAATTAGTATGAAGAAACCAATAAGCATACTAAATATATAATGAAAAGAATTGTGACAACAATTCTTACTAGATGTACAATGCTGGGAAGTAAAAATTGTTACAAGGAGACACTTACAGGACTTTTCTATAGTAGGATTCCATTGTCGGTCTCCAAGATGGTAGGATATCTGTATATTTCCTTAAAGGGAACAAGATGAAAACAATGCTCAATCACAAAACTATTCAACTTTTTTAGGTTACCATAAAATATTAAAAATTAAAATTAAAAAAAAAAAAACTATTTACTTAAAAGGAATGTAACTCTGCATAAGAAAATTCATTGTCATGCTACCAAAATTAACATTAAAGAAAATGCTTCCATACCTTCTGAAGGCCATTGATTCAAATTACTCCGAGTTAAGTCATCTAACGGTCCGATATAATAACTCTCTTTCGAGTCACCTGTTTCACATTCGACCCAAAACTAAAATCAACATCCTTCCTTCTTTTCCATTCAGCACAACAAATTAGATAGATAGTACACACAAAGCATAATCCCATGATATATTTCAGCAAAAAGAAATCATTTTTACTTCCATCCCATTGTTACAAAGTATAGATTCAACCAACATATTTGTAAATTATACTGAATTTACTTTTATTGTCTCGCTCAATCACCTACCATAGGCTCAGCCAAAACAAAAAAAAAAATTCTTTAAAAGAAAAAAAGAAAAAATACCATGAGAGATTGGATGATAAGAAAGAACGAACCTTTGGAAGTGGAAGTGGGATCGAGGTTCTCGGAAAAGAGTGGGGTGTAACCTCTGTGTTGCTTGCGAGCCAATTTCAACTTGTCCTCCAATGGCAGCGAAAACAGCTTGCTGCTCTCCTCGAACACTCGCCCGAGCAACTCTTCCTCAACACCATGATTCACTAAGTAGAAGAAACCACACTCTATGCACGCCTGCATATTTATAAATTAATTATCTTCCTATAAATATAGTGCGATTCAATTCGACATAAAATAAAAATAAAAGGAAAACAATTTCTCAGTGAGAACCTGACGGATGGAAGTGGCGGAGGAGAGGGAATCTGGTGAGGACAAGTCTATGATAGGCAGTTTTAGAGCCGCTGTCATCTTCTTCTCCTCTGCTTTTGAAACTCAGTTTTGGTGGGACTTGGAGTTTGGGGAGAGAAGAAGGAAAATAGGCACTGGTGGCGAAAGCTGGAGACTCCCTCCACAGTAGTATAAACATTTTTGGTTCGAGGAGTCAAAAAAAAAAAAAAAAATTTGGGGAGGATTTTTTTTCCATTAACGAGTATGGGGAGAGTTCGAATTTTTTTTATTTTTTAGTATAACCAATAATCTAAATTAGAGGGGAAGGGGTTTCTCACACACACACAACCAAGATGTTATGGGGATTCGAACATAAAATCTCTACAAGTCAATATCATTTTTCACTGGGTTAGATCTCGTTAGCTAGCAGGAGAGTTCGAATTTAGAACTTCTTTGAATATTTTTAGAGTGTCAATATCATTAAAAGTTAAATGAGAATTTCAATATCTTTAGAAGCTAAATTTGAGAGTGTTTGTATCACTACTTTAAACTGAGAGTGTCAATATCGCTAAAAGCTAAAGTGAGCACGTAGAGTGTCAAAATTAACATTCTAAAAGAGTGTCTATATTGTTAAAAGCTAAATCGAGAGTGTCTGTATATCGTCCAAACTTAAAATGAGACTGTCAATATCGCTAAAAGCTAACTTGAGAGTGTTAATATTGTTACTTACTTTTGTTACTTTGTTAGTAGAACCCAATGGTAAGGACAGATAGCTCTTGTACATACAAGACTTAGAAACACCTTCTAAAAAAGCAACAAACAAATGAGCTTTGTAACCCAACAAGTACTTTTCTCTATTTCAACATAAATGCTACAAAAGTTCTTCTTACTTATTTGAAAGCATGTTGGCACTAAGAAAAAACACACCCTTAATTACAAATTCTCAAGATACTAATCAACCATTTCCATCAAGGACATTGATCATTACCTAGACCATTGTTAAATGCATACAAAAGATGAATGCAAATCCTGAACGACACAGTGCAATCAGTATTTCTTTGGTTAATTGGACATTATCATTCTCATCCACAAACGCGCACTACGTTAAAATACATCTTAGCAAAATGTTGAAACTACCAACAGCCTTTTGCCTCAGGCTCTCTCAGCATTGAGATTACTTCAATGGTTCAAAATTCTCGCCGGGTTTTCACAGTTTGTAGCCGGTAGAAAACTAGAAATTCATCTCTGATCAACTTGGAAGCAATTGCAGGAAGAAATGGAGATAACCCATCAAATTAGGCATCTGATCTAAGCCTCACTTCACAACTTTTAAACAGTATTATGTATACTATAATTACTTGCCCTCCAAAGGGAACCCTTGAATTCAATCAGCATGAACCCCATGTACAATAAACCAGCTTTGATCTCTATAGCCCTTGAAGGCCGCCTTCTCCCCAAACCGTACTGAGGAAAGACCACAGCGGGATATGGATTCCATTTTGAAGTTTAAAACGAGCAGCTGGAAGATCTTCATCTCTTGGAAAATCTGCTTCTTCTGACTCCCCTTGTAGTACTAGTAGGGGTATGATGAGTGATGTCAATGGCTTTCTGTGGACTCTGCTCCTCTTCCTCGTCACTGGTTTCATCAGACCTCCATCTTGGTCCATGATTCAAATTTCTGTCCTCAATTCCAAAACTCTTTTCTCCATAGCTGAATATTAAGAAAAAAAATTTGTATTAAAAAGAAATAAGACACTGAAATGAATGTCAATGTAAACCTTCTCAAACAGTTATACCACACAAGTAACAAAGTAAACGAGATTTTAATGGGGCAGGCGAAATGAAGGGAAAAATAAAAAATTTGAACACTCACCTCAAGGAAATGTCCATTGAGTCATCCTTGGAAACCATATCCCAAGGTCTATCATCCCTATCTGGATAATATGCCTTACTGGACACGCGATGCGGGTTCATTGCAGAATCTTTAAACTGGCCATTGTTGCTGCTTGGTGTAGTTACTGGATTAGAATTAGCGCTGTAGTAGTGTAAAGGACTTGTATTTCTGAAAGGGTTGAAGCTCCTGTTCTTTTCGGTTTCTGGTGACATCTTATCATATTGATTGTCCTGGAGATGGATATTTGAAAGTAATTTAAATGAACTCCTGTTCCCACCCTTAACTGCTGAGGAGGGAGTAGCCCAATGAATTTCAGGAGTTGATGCATCCTCAAAATTGAAGGACTTGTTTATGCTATTATCAGGCTTCCATTGCATTTCAGAATTGGTAAATAACCTTTCATGCAGAACTGAAGAACCATGGTTACCTAGGTCAGAGCGATAACTGTCAACTAACGCCACTCTTTTTTGGGGGGTTTCAGATATTGAAGATTTCCAGGAAGGATTCATGCGATCCGTCCATAAAGCATGAGAAATATCAACGGACGAAGGAATCAGTAAACTAGTTGATTTTGACACTTGCACCTCAGGAAGAGGACATGTTGCTGAAATTTCAACTTCGCTAGAGGTGGCACCAGATATCTCAAGAAACTTTCCAGCCTTTACTTGTTGTCGTTGGACTTCTGGTAGCAACTCCATGCATTTATCCTGTTCATCGAATGCATCTAATTACAAAACAAGGAAAGCACCATGTACCCGCAAAGAGACTCACTCCAATATGCTTAAAACAATGGAAACAATTATGCCAATGGCTTTCTCCTAAGGATGCAATCACTGTCTGATTGTCATATAAGAATGTTAACATTGGGGTCGAATAAGCTGCTTGTAACCAGTTCAGTTACATATTGCATTACAAATGACTTAAATATCAAACTTAAGAATAAAGCAAAGAAAATCACATGGTCAATGACTATACCCTCCACAAATTAGGTTATTAAAGTGGCAAAGGTGTCCTCATACGCTCTTAAAAAATTAAACAACTTACAATTATTCCTGTTCTCCAGCCGCTCATTGATCTCATTCTAGATAAAACTTCTTCACTGACAGAATTCTTTGAGATGAACTCCTGCTCTGCGTTTTTAAGTATTTGATCAACATGGTAAGCTTCAGAGTACCGGTAGCGCTGAAATGGCATAAGGAAGGAAAATGAGCAATTTTATGTCAGAAAATCTCAACACAGAACTTGCTCTTTTAATAGAACTAACTACTGAGAATATCTTCAATAAATAAGTAGATAAAACAGTCTACAAACTAATAATATAAGAAAACCAGATGACATAGTTCAAAAAATAGTGACTCCTTAAAGTGCTTAAATGCCTCGAAGGTAAATGCAAAGGGCCTGTGATCCCTTCCATTTGCAAGCCATCCTGAACTACACAAAAAATTGTGGAGAGAGCTGCAGCAATAATGATATGCATAATCAAACATTGTTGACTTTCATAAACTTTAAAGCAAGCATTTCTCACACCATTAACAGGCCCCAAATGAACATAAATTCTCAAGCTTTAAACGTATTATGAGCTACAGAAACTGCCAACATAAATGATGATGCTTTTCTTAAAGGTTACAATGCATAACAGCATAGCACTAGTAAGATGCTGAACCAAAATACTCGATTTTGAAGTTAACAATAAAAATAGATAATAATTACCTGAATATAGAATACGACAAGAAGGCTTCCAATAATTGAGGAAGGATCATCAATAGTATAATCTAACAAGCACTTATGGAGATGTTTCTCTTCATCAGAATTCCACGGCAACTCTATCATTCGATCTACCATGTTCCTTCGTATACAAAGGACACAAATTTCAGTAACCAATATCTCCACCCAGTCTTCCCAACCCCTATATTTGCATGTTGAATCATCAGTTACATCACCAAATTGTCCACACTTCAACTTCTTCTCCTTGACTTTGGTGCAAAGCATTCTTTGATGTATAAATGCTTCGGTAAAAAGTCCACACTCTACCCTTACCCGAACTGCAGTTACAGCCTCACTAAGTGAAATTGGTTTTGATGTACCATCACGCCCGGACCATCGTAAAACCGAAAGGGCTGTATCAGGGTTCCCCCTTTCTAGTAGTACTTGTGCAATCTTAGAATGAGTTGCTGGGCCTGAGATCTCTGGAAGAAGGTGACAAGCTTCCTGAGAAATATATTATAAAGTCGAATCAAGCATTAAAATGAATCCGGGACTAAATAATCTAATATCAAACAAAAAGCATAAATTTGAACTGCCTTCTACAAATATAACAACTTGCAACAGCACTAGAATATTTCTTGGTTTTACCCCCAATCAAAACTTTCATCCTATTAGCTTGGATAAACATTATACGTAAACCAATTAATTTTAATTATTTAAAAAATAATAATGGTCTACTTTGAACTCAAACAAGCAGCACCACAACAGATAGAGTCAGATCTGTCTTATTTAAAATAAAATAAGTAAATTACATTTGACTCAAAATCTTATTTGATATTCTCAAGTCGCAATCTCTTTTCCTAGATTAGCAAGGACTGGAGAAGAACCCTCCCCCTAGAATGCCACAGCCTGACCATAGACATACGAATTGAGCATAAAATTTGAATTAAATAATGTCACTGAATCTTGATACAATTGGTTAAACACGAATCTTATGGCATTGACCATTGAGAGAGAAAAACTGGCATTCAAAAGGAATAACCATCTGGAAAAATTAAGCAGAACTTACCTGCAGAGCCTCATCTGTGTGATCATCCAAGAGATAAAAAATTAAGGATTCCAATAATAAATGCCTGGGTATGCCAAAGGTAGCTCCAAAATCCTCTACAATGTGTCTCCATTGCTCATCAGGCATTGTCCAATGCCGATCAAATAGGTAGTACAGAAACTGTTATAGATTAAGGAAATACAGATATCCCTGGAGGTGGGGGAGGGGGGAATTCAGGAAATGCACAATTAAAAGAAACAAACAAAATTCAAAGAAAAAGAAAGGATACAATCGCTTGCTTCGCAACCACCAAATCTGAACTACCACATAGAAAAAGTATATCAACAGCAGCTCGAACATTTTCAAATGGATAGCATCCTGCAACCCCCCCTATCTCAGAACTGAAAATTGATGAGACTCCATCCTTCTGCAAAGATGCAAGTTTTAATTCTTCTACCAGTTTCACTGTATTTCCCTGCTCAATCTCCAGATTTACCAGGGCGTCTTCAATAAACAGGGTACCTTCCTCTCCCGTGGGCTCTTCAGAGTTATTTAC